AATTTTCAGAAGCTGAGAAAACTCTTCTAAGGTAGGCACCAACTGATAATCCGGGAAAGTAAAACATTGGTGCAGAGGGTCAAAGAACTGGAACAACACTTTCACCATATCCTCTTCAATGTTGGTATTGACCAAGCTGATGAGTCTACCATGCCTTTCACTGAATGAAGAGTTCTCGGGAATCCTGGATGTAAATTCCTTAATCTGAGGAGGGACCCTTACAAGGTTGATCTGAATTTTCTTTCTGCGGATAGTTTCCATGTCCTACAAAACAAGAACAAAGATGAAGATTCGAACACTTGAAACGGTTAGTAGATGCATATGATGTTGTATGATGCTATGATGTTATGATAAGGTCACACCACAAGTATTCACAAAAAGAAAACATGGTAAGGCACACAAGTCACACCACAACCCTTAGAGTTTAGGCCAGCATGAAGTTTGGGGTACTACCCTCTTGAGGTTGGTGGGCTCAAAAACCTGTCCTATCAAAAGTAATCGGGTTCTAAGGAGCTCAATATCATTTGGTTGTTTTCTGTGTTCATTGTTTTGATTTAGCCACTGAACTGGTGATCAAAATATTCCAAGAAAACAACCCTCAATGAGTGTAGTATCGAGTATCAACCAACTTCGGACTGCACCAAAGTCAGTCATCTCACTACCCCTAAAGAGGCCAGGATGGTTCAATTAAGGTTCCTAAGGTCAGTTGATGCTTCACGACACCATGCGGCGGCCCCGTACTCTCGTTGACTTGACTCAAGGGTTACCGGTACTCACCAAAGTGCCACATCAACGTAGCAAACTGCTTCAACCATGTCGGTATACCCCGCACAGTTCCCTCACAGTTTGTTGCTACTTTCTACAAGGTATCCCCCAGATCCGGGTTAGGATCTATGAAACTCCAAGGCAAAACCCACAATATTAAATCAAGCAAAGCAAAGCAATTGAAAACATAAGTATGATCTAATTCTAAGGCACACCTCACTCTCAATATTCCCCAGCAGAGTCGCCAGTTCTGTGATCGGTGGAAATAGAACTGACTGTTTTTTAAGCTGGTTTCGCGAAATGTCGCGGTAAGCAAGTGTCGCAACCTTCTTTTATGTTCTCCAACATGGAAAGGACAAAAGCACATCAAAATTCCTTATGAGAATGTTTCTCAGTTCGGGAGGTAGATTTATAGAAAGGGAAGGTGTTAGCACCCTTTCTATCCGTGGTTATCCACGGGCTCTTAGGTACTTGCTCTTATATTTTCAAAATATGTTTGCTTTTCAAGTGTGTGTGGGTTTTGAAAAAGTTTCGTTTGAAAAATTTCTAAGTAACTCTTGTATCAGTCCTCAAGAGTGTATGAAAAATTTGTTTGAAAACTTTTGAAAGTGTGAGGTGTGAAAAGTTGTTTTGTTTTGTTTTGAAAAGAGCAAGTACTTAAGAGAATCTACCTACTCTAAGGAATTAAGCTGTGTAAGAGTCCTTTAGATAGTGCTATCCCACCATTGAGAGATAGGTAGCACCATCGTTGGAGGTGTTCGGGTCAATTCGATTATTGGGACAGTGTGGTCACCGAGGCAACGGTAAGACACCTTAGAAGTAACCCTAATGTCCTAGATCCTTTGTATCTGAGGAAACCGTTTCGAGGCAACTGGATCTTTAGACAAAGGGTGACCTCTAAGACGTCCTTTACTTGATGACCACTTTTCGAGGCAACGAGTGAAGCGTACCCTAAGAGTGGCATGTGCATGTGTGTTGTGTTTCAGTTAAGGTTATCTTGTACATGTTATTTGTGAGCTACAAATTAATTTTATTTACATACATTCTTTCATGCATTATTAACAGTTAGGGGTGCGGAAAGTAAATTGCAGAAATGTAAATTCTAACTATTACAAGGCGCGGGTCTATACATCGCCAAAGACAAAAAACCCGTTTTGGTAAATAAGGTGCGAGAAATAAAAAAAATAACGAGATAAACCTAATTACTATTACATATCCGGAAACAGTTACATAAATAATCAAAATAACGCGCGAAAGAATTAAATCGGGAACGTCCTAAGGGTTTTGACCCTTTTAAGAAAAGAATTGAATTTTTTTTTGTCCTTTTTGTGATTAAATGAAATTAAAATTAATAATTAAACTAATTAATTAATTTATTAAAAGAAAAAAAGTTTTTGTATTTTTATGTTTTTAATGAAATAAAATAAAAGGAAATAAAATTAAAAGTTAATAAAAACCTAATTCTAAATTTATTTTAATTATTTAAGAAAAAAAGTTAAAGTTGCCTAATTAAAATTAACTCAATTTATTAGTATTTATTTACAAAAATAAAATGAAATTAATAATAATAATAATATTAGTTCTTTTTTTGATTTTTATATTAAAAATATTAATTATGTTAATAGTTAATAAAAGGGAAAAAATAAAAATAAGACAAATAAAATATAAAATGACAAAATAAAATTGCAAACCAAAGGGGGGTATGGGCCAGAATTGGGAGTGTTAAATTGGAATCTGAGGCCCATCAAGAAGCCAGCTTTGTTTGACTTTGGAGATTGCCTACGCCTGTGTTGACTTGAGAACATGATGCTCCTTCCCTTGTGGCCATTGGATTTGCACCTGGAGACACTTGGCGCTTTGGATTTGTGAGGCGCATGATAAGCCTTCTTTGAAGCCTGCACACAAGTATGTAAGAAAAAATAATATGGGATTTTGAGGGGACCTGGGAATCGAACCCAGGTCCCAGTGATGCCTAGCCACGTCCCTCTCCACTGAACCAAGCGCTGTATCTTGTCATTATAGTGGGCAAAGAAAATAATATGGAAAAGTAACACGCATATGCTAAACAAGAAAACGCGCGTATAATATTTGAATGGGCCACCCATGTTCTTCCACGTAATCACCTTCTTCATCTTTTCCTGTAAAACAAAAACAAGATAGCGGGGGTTTTAAACCCCCACAAACAAAAACTGCCAAGAATAGCGATTAGAGTTACAGATGATATAAAAAAGGCGCGATGGTATCAATGGATTCGTCTTGTCCTGACGAGTTTGACCCTATATGTCTTGAGGTCTAATTTTACACTATGTGAAAAACCCCAATTTAAAAGCTTTGAAACCCTATAACTTAGCAATGGTGTTTTGCGTTTCAGAGGCTCTCAGAGCAATTGAACCCTACCATTAGCTTCCTGTGAGTTCTATGAACATGAAACAATCCATAAAACACATCAAACGCGCATGAATAATGATATGTAATTCAAAAAAAATATGTGCAAACCGTACGATGATGGTGGACGATTCCTTGAGTGTTGGGGCTTGTTTATGAGTGAAAATCGTTCCTGGGAGTGTTGGGAGTGTGTTTGGATCAAAGAAAAGGTCTGAATTGCACTGGAAGATTGATTTCAGTTTGTGACTTTTCTTCAAGTTTTTTTGAATTTGGTCTGGAACATTTGCATATATGTGTGTGAATGAGAATCAAGCAATATTATGAGCCTTTAACCCTTGCAATGAAGTTTTGGATTTCTCCATAACCACCATTAAAGAAACTTGCCATTTTTGTTCAAAATTTGAATTTTCATGTTTAATTCAGCTTGGCACGAATTTGGCATGTGTATTATGATGCATCAAGGTCATTCAAACCACAAGGTATCCTTTGATTAATTTTTTTTGATTTTTATTTGAATTTTATGGATTTAAAATGAATTAAATCAATAAAATTAAATAAAAATAGAAAAAATAAATGTTTAATCTTGAATTTAATCATGGGACACATGGGTGGCATTGAAAAGCTGAATCAAGTGGGAAAAGTGGGCCCTTTTGTCAAAAAATGAAGTTTCAAGGATAGTTGATTTTTGCCATTTCACAAAAATTTCCCAACTTCTCCAATGCATATCTTGCTCAATTTTGATCATATGAACATGTTCTTGGACATTTTGGAAAGATATTGAAGTCCTCTAACCAATGCCTTTGGTCCCATGTCATTTTGATTTACCAATCTCAAGTTATGGTCTTTGACTTAAAGTGCCTTTTTGTTGACTTTTGAAAATGACCTATAATGTTGAAATTGATAACTTTTTGTGAGAGCATTTATTGGACTTGAAATGTGAAGATGAGTTGTAGGAAATGTCATCCCCTTCAAAATGAGAATTGAATGGGATTTTTCTGATGAACCATGAAAAAGTTATGCCTTGGTCAAGTTACAGTTGACTTTTCAGTTGTCCCAAAATAGAAACTTTTGACACCTTGATGATATTTGAGCCATTCTTGTGAAATCATGGTAAAGATCTGACCAAATGATGATTGTGGCTTCAAAATAAGATGTTGACCAATTTTTTTGACTTTTGACTGCCAAATGACCATTTTACCGCTGCAGTTGACTGTGGAGCAATTAGGGTTTTTGACTGTGCAACTTGACCTTGTGAGCCTTGAAACTTGACATGTAGGTGCTTGACAATGTATATGAGCATATGGGACTTGATTGAGCCCTTGAAAACCTCAACTTCCTTGCAAGAACCAAAACCCTAATTTGACTGGCTTAGGGGGGTGTTTGAACTGTGCAACCCTTGAGTGGACTTGAGCAAATTGAGATGATGCTTGTCAAAACTTTGAAGAATATAGGAGGGCAAATTTTGGGGTACAACAGAAATATTATTACAAAAGTCATATTCCAAGTGCAGTACAAAATTTGAGTACATCACATTATACTAATAAAGTAAACAAGAAAACGTGGTTATGACCAAAGTCAAATGGACTCCTAAGAACTATTTTTTATCCAATCTTTAAGATTCCATTTCAGTTTAGTCCGATCCTCAACAGTCCAAAATTATTCATATGCAAGAATGTCATGCTTTGCTAAGTGTGACCTCATGTCTCATACTCCTCCTCCTTGGCTTGCATCCTGACAAATTTCAATAACAAACCAAGCTTAAAACAGACAGTACGAAACAAGTGCATACACAAAGTCATAACAAGTCGTAGTATACCTTCACTTAATGTACACTAAGACAGACCCATAAACTATGCATAGAGCAACCCTGCTATAACAAAACCAAAAACAATCAAGTGGGCATCACAAACCAAAGGCAACAAACCTGCAATAGAGAAAGCAAATTCCATATGCAGTATATAAGTTACAGCCAAGATAAACAGAACGAATCCAAGCATAAATCACATTTGCACGATGACATTACAGCCATAATATGCCAACCTGCATAAAACTTACCATACCATGCAAGCTTCATTACAGGACCTGTAAAAATCAGTTCAAAGAAAATTTTAAGCAACTTTACCAGAAAGTAATTACTATTAAGTTTGCAATTCTCCATCCAAGGATAATGGGGATCATCCATGAATGTGGGGGTAAATTGCATATGGCTGAGCGCCAGTGGGTCGAGGCAGCTACAAATTCTTTGAAACTGGGAATCAGAGGCGTATCTACTGCTTGAAGTACTTCGTTCTTGCCAACATGTTGGTGAAGTCCGAGATAAATCCATTTGATGGGAAGGAAGCTAAACCATACAAGAATGTCCTTGAAATATTGGCATTAACAAATCTGATTGCAGCCTATCAACCAAATGAAATATTGGAATTCAGAAAAATATTGAAGAGTAACAGACGAACCATCATGGATGATCCATTTATCATAATTACATTGAGAATTTACTAATAATCCATAACTAATTATAATAACAGATAGTTCCAGCTCAGTTAACGGTTTCAACCTTCCTAGATAACTCCTAACAGTTCCTAGCTCCCTCAAAAATCCTTCTAACTGCCAATTGCTAACAAAAAGAAAAATAACCTAACCAACTAACTATCCTAACAAACTAACAGAATCTTGACAACCTCTCAACAGAAAAAACAGAATTGCTAACAGTGCCCAAATGAATTTAACAGAATTCCCAATTCAAACAAACAACTAACAGAAAATCGCACAAACTAACTTGTAACTGAATCATAACAAGCCCTAACATATAACTAACTCAAATCCACTCTAACTAACAGCCAGATAACTATTTATAACAACCTCAATCCAACCCTCCATCTCATAACTAAATTTCTCAGTCCAATGGCCTAAAAACAATCAAGCTCCAACTGAATTCCTAACTGCTTCATCTATATAACAAACTCATCAACAATCTGAAAAGGGACTCTGCATAGTCTTCACACATCATTCAAACCCTCTCCACTATTTTTTCCAGTTTCATACACACCTTCTATTGTTTCTCTTCCTCTCTCTCTCTCTGAGATCCATCTTCATCTTCTCCACGCTTCAACCTTCACCCTACATCCGTGACCTCCCTACACTATATCATCTCCATCATCACCTTCATAACTCCTCCATCCCCTAAGAGCTCTAACTCATTATTTCCATCCCTCTGCAACAAGGCATTGCAAAGCACTCACAATGCAACGACAACAACCAAAATACACAGCACAAAAAGAAAAAGAAAACATGGAGGAGAATAGACAAGAAACGGAATCCAATCGAAGAAAAAGATGAAATAGAATGCAGAAGATATCACTCAGTAATTAAGGAGTGGTCTTACCTGAATACGTGAGATTCATTAGATTTCTCTCCGTCTCTTCCTTCTTCGAAGAGTCGTGGGTCCACTTTGGTCGATAAGTCGATTATGCTCCTATTATTTGTGTTTTCTTGTTACTACTTCAGCAAGCTTGATAAGTTGATGTGTAATTCTTTATCAATCGCTTAATTTTGTGTCCAAATGTCGGATAACGAAAATTTCGAAATTAGGTTTTCTTTGTGATTTTCCTTAGATCTGGGGATATAGAGGGATTCTCTCAAGGAATTAGAGCTATATTTAGGTTCAGGGCATTGGATTAGACTATGGTGGTGTTGAAATTTTCTTGAAACAAGGTCATTTGAGATCGTGTTGGCGACGGTGGAGAAGAATGCCGTCTGGATATTTCATAGAGAGAACACGGTAGAAGGGGAAGGGTCACAGAAGTTTGATAGGCCCATACGTTTTTGAGATTAAAGCAAAAATAGATAAGTCATAATATGGATGTAGATGGACCGAGCTTTGTCTGTTTGGCCCACCGCGCCACTTTTCTGATTAGGCTTAAGATCTTGACAAAAAAAAGAAGATTGTTAGTGGACTATAATCCAAGGCCCAACGAGATTTACTACCCATACAATGCTCCCGATCCATTGCACACCCCCTGATTCTCTTAATTTCCTTTTATAATTTTTTTTAAATTCTTTCTTTCATGATTTTTTTTAACAAAAATACATAAAAAAATATATATTAGATTTTAGAAATTAATTAGGAATTTATTTTCCCTTTTGCTAACTTTTTAGTCAATATTGATCCCTAGTTTTACTCATTTTATGTCATGTATTTCATTTGCGATTTTTGGTATGGATTGTATGTAATACTTTAATACTTTCCGCCTAATTTTACTTGTTTGTATAGTATTTCATGATCCCTTAGGTGATTTTGGTTCAAATTTAATCTTCGATTTAATTGAACTAAAATTAGACATTAGGCTTCTAAATCCAAGCATGAAAACATTATGTAGAATTCCCTCGAAATTCCAACTTTAGGTCCAATGATGCATGATAACATTAAATTTAGAAATAGGCTAGTCTCCCTTTGATTTTTCTTTCCCCTTTTACATTTGCATTAAAACAAAAACTTCTTTTTCTTTGCAAACTTCAAAAAACTTTAAAATCACTGATGATGATAAGCGGGTCTCTTCTCGATATTATTGTTCTCCATCTCAGGCCTAGGTGTGGTTCAATTCTCAAAAAACTCCTTTCATGGATAAGTGGAAAAGTGGCAAATATATTTCTCTCTTGAGGTTAACTAGTCATTATCTACAACGAAAAATACAAGCTAACTCAAACTTCTTTTGTGCACCCAAGCACCTTTTCTCTAAAATCATTTTCATGTAAGGACATGATTAATTTACTTATTTTCCAACACATAAGTCTCCAAAGGTCGAGCAGCGACAGAAGGCAGAATTAACACTGTCCATAAAAAAACACAAACAAAACATGTGATCCGAACTACGGTAGCTCTGATTCCTCAAAAAGGATACGTAGGCATTAGGGTAGTGCCCAAGCGAGTACAACTTTATTTTCCCCATATTCTTTTCTCCTTTCTTTTGCATGCATTCTCCCTTTAGAAGTAGTAAACAATAAGCATAGTTTAAACACATCCATAAGATAGACAACAAGAGTGGATACCATAGAGTACTACAGGCGTGTGGGGTGCTAATACCTTCCCCTCGCGTAACAGACTCCCTTACCCGATCTCTCAGTTAAAAGACCGTGACTTCTCCCTTCTTAGGTTTTCTCGATGTTTACCTTTCTCCCATGTGGGATAAAATACGTTCGATGGCAATTTCATTGTTTGATGATTTTCAACCGGTTGTTTCAAAAAGTATTTTGCAAAATGCCTTTGTAATGATTCTCTTCCCTATAAGAATGCATACAAAGTGTTAGTTTTAAAAATAGTTCAGAGAATTGTTTTTTGTGGAATATGTTTTTGAAAGTGATTTTGAAAAGTGTCTTTGTAATGATTCTCGTCTCTATAAGAATGCATACAAAGTGTTTTGACTTTTGAAAATGTTTCAATTGAAAGTGTTGGTGTGAAAATGGTTTTTGTGAGCAAGCAGAAACTACGAGCGTCCTACCTACTCAAAAGGTCTAATGTTCTTTTCCTCCTCCTTTAGATGTTGCTATCTTACCATTGATTTGGTAAGAAGGTCCATCGTTGGATGTGAAGAGACGGGCGTGGGTCGTTTTTATATTCATAGAAGGCAACCCATGAGACTTTTTAGAAATTTTCGTTAGGGAATAGATCGTTTACCGAAGGCAACATCGAGGATCATCGAGGGACTACGATCTTTTCATCGACGGTCTTTGCTTAAACGCCCATATTCGAGGGACATGACTATTTTCCGAGGCAACAATTGATATTACCCTAGAGGTGCATATGTGTGAACGTGTTTGATTGCATGCATTTTTGTCTTGAATTTAGGGTGGTCTAAGTATTGTTTTTATCTTTCCATACACACCCTAATTACTAGCATTTTATATAAAGCGGTAAATTGGGGAAAGTAAATTTACTACGCTATTACATCACTTGGGGATGGGGATACAAATGTACAAATGGAGATTGCAATAAATTAAATCCTAATTAATTATTACAACCATATTGAATGTGTATAAATGTACAAGAATTGGAATGAAAAGAAAATGAACTTTGTTTTGATTTTTGTTAAAGAGAGATTTTGATTAATTAAGATAATTATGAAGAAAAAAAAATACTTTTGATGATATTTTTATATATTCATAAAATAAAACTTGCAAATAAATGTTGTGCAAAAAATCAACTCAAAAGGAGTTGTTTTGATTGGTTAGAAAAATGTTTGAAGTTTGTTAAAAAAAAGGAAACAAACAAAAGGGTAAAAACTGTTTTGGTCCTGCCCAGGTTTGAATTCAGGACACTACACAGAAATGCCTTTCGCGGGCACTATTTGTACCACTGGGGTGGTCTGTTTTATCCGTTCATAAGGCAACTTCCATTGGGTAAAATATGAACTTGTTTCTGAATGTTTGAAGTGCCCAGCTCCCTCCTTCAATTGCAGGAATGCAAAGCTCCCAAGTTAAGATTCGAAAGGCTTCAATCTTCAGCCAATCGAAGGATACAGAAAACTTGTCTAAAATTTGAAAATGAACCTAATAAGTGTAACTTTCGAAAGCTACAGGCCAGGGGTTAGCACAAGTTTGTTTGGTACCAAAATCAAATGGCTAACCAGTTAGAGTTGAGATTCTCAACATATAGGTAGTGAGAATCGAAAGTTAAGGCATGGTTAACTTCGTAGATATGATATCTACATTTTTCTTTTATTTATATATACAAATCATATTTAAATGGAAAGTTCCAAGTTTAGAGGAAACTTACCTCTTGAAGTGCCAATCGAAGGAGCTGTAAGTGACTTCCAGGAAGGATTTGAAGATGGGCCAAGCCTACAGGGACCTTCCTTGAACTGGTTCAGTCGCTACTTTGCTTGAAGAGTCACTGAATCAAAGGTTATTATATAGCAGTCTATGGAGTGAATCGAAGGGTTCACTAATGCATGAAGGGATCTGATATTTCTTGTGAGAGTTTTAGAGTTCGAATGTTTGAGAATGTTTGAGAGTGTTTGAGAGTGTTTGATAGTTTGATAGTTTGAGAGTTTGATAGTTGAGAGTTTTAGAGTTTGACTATTTTTCCCACACCACCAAAATCTAGCCCTTTCTTTGTTAATGATTTCTCTATTTATAGAGAGAAGGTTTGGGAGTTTGAACAAAATATGGCTTTGGTTGAAACGTGAATATTAAGTTATGTCAGATTTTCCATGATCCCAAGGTGAAGCACCAAAGTTGTTGATTAAAAGGGGCTGATTTCCATGACTTATGGTGAAGTATAATCAGGATTTAAGCATGGTATGGGCTTAAGACAATTTTTGTACTAGCAAG